CGTACTTCATGTCGAGGAATATGCTAAACAACGACAAGAAGCTAATGCTCTTAAGTGGGAAATGAAAGAAGCTAAGAAATTTGGTTTAAGTTTAGAAGAATATCAATCTCAGGGTAAATACATTGAGAAAGCTAACAAGGACGAGAAGACACATTATCCCAAGCAAACAGGAGTAGGAAAGGAAGAGGAGGATTCTGCTGCTGGACTTGGAGCTTTTAAGAATGATGAAAATGAAAAGGATAAGATGTCAGAGTGCATGATGCACATAGAATCTGGTGTGCCACTCAGTGAAGGAAGAAGACAAAAAGAAGAACAAGCATATGCACTAGCAAGACAACAGAGTCAACATGGTGATAGTGGTCAAACTGGATATGAAGTTATTGAAGGGTCAGAAGTAAAGCCTCATGAAGAAGAATACACTAGCCTCCCTTCATCTGATAGTAATTATTATCAGCAACACTCTCTTGATCCTAATCAATATCCTCCTGCAAGTCGTCATGATCAGTATCCTCATCATTCTGATCATTATCCACTCAACCATTCTTCTGATCCTCATCCAATATTGTCATCATTAAATTTACTTGAATCTGATGATGATCCTGAAACTAATTTTACTAAGGAGAGCTTACACAAGCTGCAAAAAGAGAAGCCTCAGTCTCTACAAGATGCTATTAATCAACAGCCGCACTCGTTTGAAGGTATCATAGCCATTCATCAACAGATGCATTCTGATATAACATGGTATAGTACCAACTTTGATCACGTCACCCAACGCTGTAAAGAGCTGTTTGATAATCTGGAGGAAAGAAGAAGCAGCTTTAGACAAAAAGCAAGTCAATTACAAGAAGTTTATAAACAGAATATAGATAGAATGAAAAAAATGAATGAAAATTTAACATCTCGTCTTCGTTCTCTTCAAGATTCACACAATAGCCTCATAAAAGAACATCAGGAGCTTCAAAGGTCACATGACACCCTCACAGCAAATCATCAGAAGCTTTTGAAGTCACATGATACCATTACAGTTAATCATCAGAGGCTTAGAAACTCACACACTAGCCTCAGGAAGGAACATCAGGAGCTTCAGGAATCAAATGCAACGCTCACAATTTCTCATGAAGAGCTTCAAACATCTCATGATAACCTCAGAATCACTCATCAGCAGGAAGTCACTCGACACCAAAAGTCACAGGAAGAGAATGAGAACAGACTACAAGAGGTTAATCAAAGATTAGTTCAAGCACAGATAGAACTAGCAGCAAAACAAAATGAAGTGACTAAATTACAAAATACACTACAAAAATTAGAAGATAATTGGAAGGTCAGTCATACAGAGGTATCACTGTCAAAGAAAGAGCTAGGTAGAGGAGGCTGGGGTGTGATCTGGATCGGAGAGTTTAGAGGACAAAGAGTTGCTGTGAAACAGATGCACGAGCTGATTAAAAGTGACGAATATATGGAGCTCCTTCATCGAGAGATCAATACAATGTCTCAGTTGCGTCATCCTAATCTCCTCCAGTTTATAGGAGCTGTGTTAGATCATCCATCAGGTAATCCTATGATTATCACTGAAGTAATGGATACTTCATTACGGAGTACCTATGAGAGGAAGGAGCTCACTACTGATCCTGGCTGTAGACCAGTAATCCTATCTATAATGCGTGATGTAGCTGTGGGTTTAAACTACCTCCACTGTCTACCTGATCCTATTATTCATCGTGATGTCAGCAGTGCTAATGTACTACTGGAATCAAAGGGACACAACAAATGGAAGACTAAGATATCCGACTTTGGATCGGCTAAATTCGCTCGTGCAGCAGTTACTGCAGCACCAGGAGCAGCTGTTTATAGTGCTCCAGCCACTCTCGCAACCATTCATAGAAAGAAGAGAAGGCAAACCCCAAAGATGGATTCACATAGCTACAGTGTT